GAACCAATGGTATTGAAGGAAGAAGTCAAAGCTGCACTGAAGGAACTGGTGAAAAACAAGACTCCAGGAATTGATGGGACACTCATAGAGATGTTTCAATAAATGGATGCTGCACTGTAGGTACTTGTCTGTGCCAAGAAATTTGGAAGAGAACTATCTGGCCAAATGACTGGAAGAGATTCATATTTGTACCCATTCAAAAGAAAGTGATCCCACAGACTGTGGAAATCATCAAACAATATCATTGATATCACATGCAAGTAAAATTTTGCTGAAGATAATTAAAAAATGGTTGCAGCAATATTTTGACAGGGAACTTCTAGTAATGCAAGCTGGATTCAGAAGAGGACATGGAACAAGGGACATAAGTACTGATGTCAGATGGATCTTGGCTCAAAGCAAAGAATACCAGAAAGTGTTTACTTATGTTTTATTGACTATGCAAAAGCATTAGACTGAGTGGACCATAAAAAATTAGGGATAACATTGAGAAGTATGGAATTCCAGAACACTTGATTGTACTCATGAGGAACCTGTACATAGACCAGGAAGATGTCATTTGAATGGAACAAGAGCATACTGCATGGGTTAAAATCAAGAAGGGAGTGCATCAGGGTTGTATCCTTTCACCATACTTATTCAACTTGTGTGCTAAGCAAATAATCTGAGAAGCTGAATTATACAAAAAAGAACATGGCATCAGGATTGGAGGTAAGAGTCACTAACAACTTGTGATATGCAGATGACACAACCTTGCTTTTTGAAAGTGAAGATGACTTGAAGCACTTACTGATGAAGATTAAAGACTACAGTCTGCAGTATGGATTAAATCTTAACATAAAGAAAAGGAAAACCCTCACAACTAGGCCAATAAGCAGCATCATGATAAATGGAGAGAAGATTGAATTTGTCAAAGATTTCATATTACTTGGTTCCACAATCAACACCCATGGAAGCAGCAGTGAAGAAATCAGATGATGTATTGCACTGGACAAATCAAATGACTTCTTTAAACTGCTGAAAAGCAAAGATGTCTCTTTGAAGACTAAGGTAAGCCATGTCTTTTCAATTGCCTCATATGCATGTGAAAGCTGGACAATAAATAAGGAAGACCGAAGAAGAGTTGATGCTTTTGAGTTGTGGTGTTGGCAAAGAATACTGAAAGTACCATGGCCTGCCAGAAGAACTAACAAATCTGTCCTGGAAAAAGTGGAACCAGAAAGATCCTTGGAAGCGAGAATGGTCAGACTTGGTCTGACCTATGATGGTCATGTTGTCGGAAGGGACCATTCCCTGGAGAAGGATATCATGCTTGGTAAAGTGGAGGGTCAGTGAAAAAGGGAAAGACGTTCTATGAGATGGATAGACACAGTGGGTGTCATGATGGGCTCAAGCTTAGTGGGGATTGTTAGGTTAGCACAGGACCAGGCAGTATTTTGTTCTGTTGTACATAGGGTTGCTATGAGTTGGAGCTGACTTGATGGCACCTAACATCATCAACAACAACAATTTATATACCCATATAGTATATAGTGATTTATCACTGAATGTTTAGAATAGAGGGTAGAGAAGAAGTAGTTATTATATTTGGTTGTTGTCCAATCACCGCACATGAAGAATATAATGTTCAAGGACCTCCTGTTTCTGATCAGATCCAAGAACCATTTATTTATGCTTTCTTATTGTCAAGTAGGCCATTCCTAGCCATTTCATTTCTCCTGTCACAAGCAAATCTGGTGAGACTGTTATTACAATATCATGACCCTTCAGAACAATAAAGTACTTCTTGCCTGTACCAAGAATTCTGTTTATTTAATGCTGATTTGCACTACGTCTTATAACACTGCATCATTCATTATGTTGCCCATGAATAAATGCTTCCAATGACTCTACCAACAGTTGTTTCTGTGCTTCATTGATCATGACTACGACTACCAATCTTAACCAGAGCATTCAGAAAAAAATTTTCTCATACTCATTATTTTTATTCTCTTCATCTAACTTTACCATATGAAATTTTATAGCTAAAATACATCTTCCAATCCTCTGAAATCTTTAAACCTTAAGTAATGCATTTCTAGAATGTCAACTCTTTCAATGGCGACCACACTGCTTACTTTCACCCAGTGCCATTAGTGGGAAGTATGTACACAGAGTGATAGAACCATTCTTTTTCACACAAGAATGACCCTATCATATCTAGCATTATTTAAGACCATGAAAGCGTTATGCTACCATATCAATTCACAGATTGGAAGTACCTGGTGGCATTGCAGAACATTGGTTTTCAATACCCTTGGAGCAGCCACTTCTGGAAGCCTGCCTGACAGTTGGTGTGGAGTCTATGGGATGGTCACTCTGGGAATCAGTTCCAAGTGGTAGTGAGGAGATAAGGTAAAGGATGTCTGCTGTTGTCATGGTCATTGTTGGGTGCTGTAGACAGGAGACACCACCAGGGTCAGAATACAGATAGGGGAGAGACAGTGTGCAGCTCTATGCATGTGGCTCAAACACAAAATTCAGCAGTGGACCATGGGTAGCCCAGAGACCTGAACTCATCTTATGCCTGACATGAGTGAACTTGCCCTAAATCAGCAGGTCAGCACAATTCTGGCAGTCCCACTTTGTACTGATATCACTAAAGAACTATGGTATCCAGAGAGTTATTACTCATCATGCCACCCTCTTGAAATCAGACTCCAGACACAGGGCCCCTGAAAAACCCCATAGACATAAGTTGCAGAGCTCCTTAGGGCAAATTGTCAATCTCATGTTCTTGTAGGCATTGGTACAAGAGAATCATCAAATTCTCGAAGAGTAGAAATGGGGACTGGGCTGATGTGTGTTTAGTCTGGGCTTGGGGTCACACTCAGATGGCACTGCTCACCTTAGCTTGTCCCAAACACCATAAGGGCACTTAAACTTTTTTGAATAATCTACTCCAAAGCACAGAGATTCCCTAAGGTGGGAGCCCAGGATAGAGTCTCTGCTCACCCAGGTCTAAGCATGATACTGCAATTGGTTTGTGAACTTTTTAAAGGCCGACATTATTGTGCATTGTTAAGGCTATATTGAATTTTTCCATTCCCGTTAATAGATTTAACCAGAAGTTCCTTTATACATGCCACAGACCCCTTAATATCATTGACAGTAGAAAAACATTGCCTTTGTTTAGTATGCTTATGTGTGGCACAGGTATTACAACACAGGGAAGTGGTCAGTTCTTACAACTCAGCACTTAAGGATCACAGTCATGAAGGCTAAACCGATTTCAACCACTCTTTGATATTAGTCTATTTGTACCTGAACTCAGAGTTTCTGTAACTTCCCTTTTCTCAGTCTTGGGCTACTTGCTTTATCTCTCACTTTTCTAGATATTCCACCTGGGCCCAATGGTGGAGCCTCACATATATGCATAAAATATTTTCTGCTATAAGTCTCCTATGAGAGCTATGAGTTGTGGTCAAAAGAATTCATCTGTGTGATTCCCTCCACCTCTTGTTACATGCAAATGATTCTAAAGACAGGTAAAATTTATACTTTTTATGCACATAAGCTTCTGCCTTTCTCTGGAACTCAGTTTTCTTATTTTTAAAATGAAAGGGATATATTAAGTGAGTCTCAAAATTTTTCCACCTTTAAAACTCTATGTTTCCAAATTTGTAGAGGCATGAGGTAGAGGCTAAAGAACAAACAAACACACACACACAAAACACTAACTAAGACAAATTTAACCCATGCTCACAGACAGAGATATTCCACAAGTTATTACAAGATGCAGGAATGTGCTTTAGTCACTGTTAAATTCCAGACAAAGAGCTGACCAGATTAATAGAAGGTAATGTTGCTATTCTTGTCTACTTGGCTGCATATGCTCCTATATCTTAATATCCTACTGTGGTGTGCTACTAATTGCTTGCTATCATGATACAGACCTGGAGATGGAGCTAAATAATAGAACATGATGGAGAATTCTCATTTCCAAGCAAGAGTGCTCTGGTCAGTCATAAGTCTCCACTGAGTACCTCTTTCAATTGATTTAAAGAAAATATTCTCCAGTCATATCTGGAGTTTGGAAATGGAACTAAATATTGAATATCTGTAGGAATAACAAATATACTTAAATTATTCTAAGCTTGACATCAAGCCCTGTCTTGTGCTAAAACCACAGAATGACTATGATTTTATTTTTTTTCTAAAGTCTGTGTAAACAATATGAAATAGAAGGGTAATTGAAAGATAAAAATCAATTAGACTTAGACCTGGGCACATGTACAATTATTTACATCTAAAATACCTTTGTTTCAAGTGAGAAAATAATATCATGTCTCCTTAATGTCTATACGTAGTGTCTCATGTTCTTCAGTTCACAAGGGCTTTGTATACTGGAAAAAGGGAGAATAAAGAAGAGCAACAGAGAAAGAAGGGAAAGAAGAAAGAGGAAGGAGAGTGAGAATGACAATGAGAACAAGAGTAGGGAACATAAAAATATAAATGAGTCAGTTATTGTTAAGAAGGAGGAAGAAATTTGAGATTTACTATAAGTAATGTAAAACTGTGGATCAGGAGATGTTCTAATAAACACATATGTACAATTCATATACTTAATTCACGCATAATATATAAACCTTATTTTCTTAATCTATAAAAGTGAAATTATTAAAGCAATGTTCCTTCATGTTTTAATCTTATCTGTAAGAGAAAACACATGAAAAAAAAAATGTAGATAGTTCTCACTCTTCTTTGTCTTCCATTCTACTCCAAAACCATTGCTCTCAGGACATCTGCCTTCTCCATTACCCAATGCCCTTTGCCCAATTACACATGGAAAGAGGGGCTACTAGTAAAAATAGCTTTGCTTTTTCTGTCAATCCTAAACCACGGCCAATCAAAATGAAAATTTTGGCCACCATTACCTCATATTACAGAAGATGTAAAAGACAGCTCAGATTATTTTGGGTAGTGTGTGGATATATATATATATATTTGTCTTTACAAAATCATTCTTTCTGTACAAATATCTTTACAACCTGTTCCCATATCTGCTTGGTCCTGACTCCATAGATGATTGGGTTAAGAGCAGGTGGAACAACCACATATAGATTAGCCAAAAGAATGTGGATGTAGCGGGGAATATTCTGGCCAAAGCGATGAGTCATGAAAGAAAAAAATGCTGGTGTATAGAAGCAAAGCATGACACAAACATGGGAACCACATGTATTGAAAGCCTTTAGTCTGGCATCCTGAGATGGAAGGCGAAAAACAGCCCGGAGAATGAGCACATAAGATGAAGTAATCAGGATCACATCCACAATAATATTAGAAATAACCATGAGCCCATAGATGATGTTGACCTTGATGGAAGCACAGGCCAATCGAGCAAGACCCATGTGCTCACAGTATGTGTGAGGGATGATGTGATGGCCACAGAAGGGCAACCGCAGAATGAGAAACACAAACGGGGTCACAAGAACTAAATTCCTCCCAACAACAACAGAGCCTAGAATGGTGATAGTTTTATTGGTGAGGATCATCATGTACTGGAGAGGGTTGCATATGGCAACAAAACGGTCATAGGCCATGACCACCAGGAGAACTGTCTCCATGCCTGTAAACATGTGGATAAAGAACATCTGAGTAAGACATCCCCCAAAGCTGATCTCCTGGAGATTGAACCAGAATATCCCCAGCATTTTGGGGATAGTAGATGTGGACAGACCCAGGTCAATCATAGACAACATGGCCAAGAAGTAGAACATGGGCTGGTGGAGGCTATGTTCAGTCTTGATCACAAAAAGGATAGTGATGTTCCCCACAAGGGCGATCAGGTACACAATAGAGAATGGGAAAGCAATCCAGATATGTACATTTTCCAGGCCTGGTATTCCCAGCAAAAGAAAGATGGGAGGATGCCACTGGGTGTTATTGATAGAAGGCATTCTTCTAGCAAGTATCGTTGAAATCCTGTTATGAAGGAAGGATCTCACTTTCTTTAATATCTTCTCTTATCAAGGTCCTGGAGAAATTGAAAGACCTCTAATCAGTGTGGTAGAGGTAGTGGTAGAAGTAGCTAAATTACCAAATTGGAGATTCTTTTCTTTCTAGATGATAACTGAGCTGTCCTCTCACTACCTATTGTTCTATGAGATCCATCATAGACTATATTGTCCCAGGCCTTATTAGTGTATATATTTTTATTATATTGACATTTCAGATCTTTGAAGGAACTGTCAACATTTTAAAATGAATATAATAGTAAATATTTACATCATTTGACATTCTTTTATTCCTTTTGAAAATATCCCCTTTGTACTTTTGGAAAATTACCTTATACAGTAGTTCTCAAAGTATGATCGTGGCCCCTGGTCATTCTTGCGTCCTAGAATTGGACTTACTTCAGTGGGTTAACTCTCACCAAATAATACACAAGCCTATGACCTGAACCATCACACCAAGGAGATACAATCCTTAGAACAATCAACCATGGGAGATCAGAAGGGTAGCATTTGAACAAGGAGAAAGCTAGGGAGGCAGGAATGCATAGAAAGAAGGACAGAGGGAAAGGGTAGCCACAGGGAATATGTGGGAGGAGAGCTGTTACATTGCCGGAATTATAAAGTGTCATGAAACAAAATGTATGAACTGTTGAATGGAAGATAAATCTGCACTGCAAAATTTCATCCAAATCACAACAAAAAGTTTAAAAAATAACAAAAAAAAGGAAGAGAAGTTGTCTTTTTCAAGGAATCCACAAGATCAAAATTATTTTCACAATAAGACATTTTATTCCCTTTTTATTCTCATTCTCTCATGAATACACCATGGAGTTTTCCAGAGGCTATATATGATATGTGATATCATAGTGGAGAAAACGCAGATGTAAATAGAAGATTTCAGTTCTCTTGTATTAAACCAGACTTTAAAGAGGTTTTAAAATGTAAACCAATGCCATTCTTATTATTTTGAAAATATAGTTATTTTAAAAGAAAATATGTAATTTGTGTTTATATATAATGGGTTTATCAGTTTATTAATTTTTAATTAATAAAATGTTTAAATTCTCAATTTTAAGTTCTAATGTAGTAAAAACTTATGGGTATAATTCATATAAATAAAGGCTCTTTGGGTTCTTTAATAATTTGTGGAAGTATTAAAGAGTCCAGTGCCTAAGGCACTTGACTGCTAACCAGGAGGCTGGTGGTTCAAACCCACCAGCCACTCCTCAGAAGGAAGGTTGGGCAATCCTACTTCCCTAATGATAACTGCCTCGGAAACCCAAGGAGGGGTCGCTAGGAGTCGGGGCCGACTCGATGGCAAATAACAACAACAACAAGAAGTTCAAATGAGAACTTTTGCCTTACACCATAGTCTATGTTTTGATATGATGTAATTGTAAGATTTGCCTTACCAGTGCTTAGACATTCACATGACATATGGCAATTCAGTCAGATGGTTTCTGTTAGATTTTTTCTTATTCTAATTCTGCTATTCTGAGCAGACTCTTTCTGTTATGAGATCGCCACTGCTTTTGATGCTTCTCTGGTAGCATAGTGGCTAAGACACTTGCCTGCTAACCAGACGGCTGGCGGTTCAAACCCACCAGCCACTCCTCGGAAGGACGGTTGGGCAATCCTACTTCCGTAGTGATACTGCCTCGGAAACCCAAGGAGGGGTCGCTATGAGTCGGGTCCGACTGGACGGCACGTAACAACAATCTTCTGAAATTGTCTTAGTTTCAAATCCCATTTTTCTAGCCTCCTGTTTATTCTGCAATCCTGATGCACTTCCACTAAATTGCCTTCTGCTTGTCAACCAAACTAACTTCATCTTCCTTACAACCTTGAACACCGATTGTTGTTGTTATTTGCCGTCGAGTCGGCCCCGACTCATAGCGACCCCTCCACCGATAATGACACACAAAATTATACCAATTTAAATTTGCACATAGCTTATGAAAAGATTAAATGTCTAGCAAATTTAATGATATGGAAACTAAAATATTTGTCAGGAATTTTTCTTGATTCCTGTAAATGAAATTACTTTTTAAAAAAATCTCTTTGTGCCCTTATGACTGTGTAGCAACTGTTACCTGAATTGTATAATGTTATGTAATATTCATTTATATATTTTCCTTATCTCTATCAACAAAATGCCTGCTACCAAGAGCAAAGAACCAGGAGGTAAGTGATTGGTAGCGTAGTGCCTAAGGCACTTGACTGCTAATAAGAAGGCTGGAGGTTCAAACCCACCAGCCACTCCTTGGAAGGAAGATTGGACGATCTACTTCCCTAGTGATACTGCCTCGGAAACCGAAGGAGGGGTCGTTATGAGTTGGGTCCGACTCGACAGCACATAACAACAACAACAACAGTGTTATATAAGTGTTTGCTTCCAGTTGTTCAGTACTTAGCCCTGGAATTGAGTCAAGGTTTGTATAAACGTTTATGTGTGTGTGTGTGTGTGTGTGTGTGTTCAGAGAGGGAGAATGAGAGAGGGAATATTTTTAGTATCTATGTGATGCACATGTAAGTTGTCTTGCAACTTTGCAGATAGTGATTATGTTGTAGAAATACCAAGGCAAGTAAATTAATATTCTGTTTTCTATGAAAAGAAAAGCAGAATCTCTCAAGAGGAACTGGAAATAAAGTTTCCCATGTGTAGAGCAGAGTGGAGTTTTCCAGTGCTAAGGGGAAAATTCTAGGCTAAGAAATCAGAGGCCAGTTGTTTGTGAGACTCGACTTGGAAAAGATATTTCCTCAGAAATGTCTAGGATGACATGTCATGAGGTTCACAGCACAGAGTCCATTCCCTCTTCAGTGCCGCTCTTTGTCAATATGATTCTTCACTACCTGGAGAATTCAGGTGCATTCAGGTGAACAGCAGAGGGACTGATCTCTGACAGTATAGTTCAGCACCCACAGGACTTCCACCTTCTCACAATTTTGACAAGAGTGCTTCTTCACAGTGTGCCACAGGCGATGGCAGACCGTATGTGACCAATAAACGTAAAGATCATTCTTGGAGGGTAAAGTGCTAAGTTCACCTTTCCTAGATGTGCACATTGACAAAAAGACCAGTCTGAAAGTTCATTTTTCAAAGCTAAATTGATAATGGTTTTACTTGTAGGTATATCAGTTATATAATAGAATCTTTTAGTTAGAGATCTTTTCCCTTTAGTGCCCACCATCTCTCCATTATCTGAGTTTGTGATTTGTTTTTTACCTCTTCTTTGTTCCTGTTGATTCTAATAGTGAAATATTACAGGTGATTTGTGTGGACTTGGAAATCATTCATACATGACTTAAAGTCCTGTAATGACATTCACTAGGTGGAAATCCTTGGACAGCTTCTTTAACTTGATACATCAGTTTCTTCTCTTTTAAAATTGGGATAATAAATGCTAACTGATGTATTTTATTTTAAACATAAATAAAACCAATATATATAAAGACATTAGCTCATAGCAGAGACTCTATAAAAGGCAGTTACTTAAATTATTAATGCTCTCCAATATTTTAGTTTTATTTTAGCTGCAGATAGCTAAAACACATTCACCTAATAGAAGAAATAACTCACTTTACTATAAAGGGCCCATGCTTTATAATTAATGAGCCAGAAAGTGAGAAGAAGGAGGTGTGGAGGGAAGGATGGCACAGAGAAGCCGGAGTGAAGGAGCAGCACAGAGCCACGCAGGTCTCTGTACCTCTAGATTTGTAAGAATACATATAAACCTAATCTTTCTCAGTTTGAAAAGGAGCAATTTCCTCACTTTCTTCACAGGGTTTTTCAAGCTAGATGGGACCAAAGCAATTTAGGAGTGGATAACAACTTTCATTCAGGTGTTTTCATGATTGGGTCATGAAGCAGGAGCCAGAGGAGGAGAGGGTTCTCTGTGATCTATAGGGATATTGGTCTTATAATACTAAAAATAAGCTTGGATAAGTCTCCATAAAATAGTGTGGGCACAGGCTGGTCAAGCCATAATTTGACAGATCTCTAAATTCACTAGGGTTATAAGGGAGATGCAAGAAGAAAATTGTTGTTAGGTGCTGTCAAATTGTCTCCAACTCATAGCGACCCTATGTACAACAGAACAAAACACTGCCTAGGCCTGTGCTAGCCTCACAATCCTTGCTATACCTGAGCCCATCATTGGCAGCCACTTTGTCAACCCATCTCTATGAAGGCCTTCCCCTTTCTTGTTGACCCTCCACTTTACCAAGCATGATATCCTTCTCCAGGGAATGGTCCCTTTTGACAACATGACCAAAGTAGGTGAGATGAAGTCTGGCCATTCTCACTTCCAAGGAGCATTCTGGCTGCACTTCGTCTGGGACAGATTTGTTCTTTCTTTTGGCGGTCCCTGGTACTTTCAGTATTCTTCGCCAACAACACAACTCAAAAGCATCAACTCTTCTACAGTCTTCCTAATGAAGTAGATGATTCTATTTTGTAATTTCATGAGAAATCCACTCCCCTCTCCCTTTCCCAAACAAGACATCCCTGAGAAACCCACAACATTCCTTTCCCTGTGAGCCCTGTCAACCCCCATCAATCTTTCCTAGGCAATAACCTGGCAATTTATCGCTTCTGTAACACGCTTGCTTGCCTATTTGCAGTCCTAAGCTATATAAACCTGCCTGAAATTAGGATCTGGGCTGCAGTTGGGGAGAACGCTTTAGTTCCCTGCAGCCCAGCTATAGCTGAATAAAGACTTCCAAATTCTGGACATTATAGTGGTCATCAATTTATTCTAAACCCACAACACTTATTCATTGTCCAGCTCTCACATGCATATGAGGTGACTGAAAATACCATGGCTTGGGTTAGGCACACCTTAGTCTTCAAGGTGCTCTTCAGCACTTTAAAGAAGAAAATAAAAATAGTGCCAACCAAATGGAAAATATCTAGATCATTTTATTTGAATATTGACATCAGT